ATCTTGGGCTCTTAGTTCCAGAAGAGGGTACTAAAGGGATTGTGGAGATTATGGGAGGAAATGAGATTAGGTTGGCTTGTGATAGCATCAGTTAAGCATAATTCATTATGCAAAGCTCATAAAGGTACCTACACTGACTGTTTTGACACGCTAGCTTTTTCCTGTCAGCTTTGGTGACTGCCCGTGCCCTCAGAAAGCTGTCTGCCATTTTGAGATTTTGGGATGAACCTCATAGGTTTCCGTATACGGTATTTTCCAACTCCCTTCCTGCAGAAGTGTAGGTGGTCATTGGAGTATGGAAACTGCAAATGTTCAGTTTTTCTGAATGGATATGTATTGCATGTATCAATGCCAGTCTTGTCAAAATGCATTATCCAGAGCAAGCATTTTACATCCTATTATCTTTTGCACCTAAGAATACTAAAAGAAACAAATTTGTATGAATTATCATAAGTCACTTTTCTAATTATATATTCAAAGTACTGTATGGATGAGTAATGGCCAAAGAATAAGTAATAGAAATGTTCTGGTACTTGGGAAAATTGACAGATTATTCAAACAATATCATTAAAAATTAAACATCAAGAAAATGGCACTAACGTTGTAGAATGGTAAAAGCCAATAAAGTTTCACCGGTCAAATAGATTTGGGCTTATATTGAATGATAGGAGTTGGTGTCTGTATAAATGGAATATGAATTGTGTTTCACATTTGAGGTGCTGTTACTGAAAATTCTCTGTCACCATTTACACATGCAAGGTTTTACTTGATGGGCCTTTGCTGTGAGTTATAATAATAATAATAATAATAATAATAATAATAATAAATTTTTTATATACCGCCCAATGGTTGCCCAACCCGGGCGGTGTACAACATAAAACACAATTACAATAGACAGCATTTGCCCCCCCCCTTAAAATATTATTAAACAATAACATAGTTATAATCCATTAACAAATTAAACAGGATAAATGTTAAATGTTTAAACAGGATAAAATCATAACAAATAAAATAATTAAAAACATTCCACAGTACCTCCATTATTGCACTTCCAGGGGAGCCAGGGTTCAGAATAATGTAGCTGAGGGGAGAGGGGATAGCCCGGGGCCGGGACAATTTAGTCTGGAAAGGCCTATAGACTTTGGGAATAAAGGGCATCCTGGTTCCACTTGAGAATTTATGGCTAGAGGGAAGAACTAAAATTTTATGGCTTTCTTTAGCAGTGTTTTTCTTTGTTATTCCTTGATCTCTTTTGGTGTGGAGTTGGGGACTCAGATTTCTGCCTGCATGAAAACAATCTCCCTGTAACACCCAAAAGCAAAGATACAGGCACAGGGGTAGGCAAACTGTCTCCTTTAAGGGCCAAGGGACTTCAGCTCCCAGAATCCCAGACTATTGGCCAACATGGCTGAGGCTTCTGGGAGCTGAAGTCCTTCGGCCCTTAAAGGGGACAGTTTGCCTACCCCTGGAGCCTTTGGGGACTCATGTTCATTTCCTCTGCATGATGAATTTTTACCATATTTGTCTGCTGAAAAAGCCTGTGAGCTATGAAAGCTATTTTTTTACACCTTCTGGATGGCCTAACAAGGTATCCTCAGTGTGCATTTTGGATATTTTAAATTTTCTGTGTATTAGTTTCCGATGAATACCGAATGAAGGGTGCAGATACACTCACATCCTGCTGGTGGGCTTCCTGTAGGCAACTGATTTAAACTTTGTCTCAGGAGTAGGTTTATATACCCCCCCAAACCCCCAAATTTCCATGTTGGTTGACTACTTGACTCCAAAAAACTTGTGGTTCAGCAGAAGTGTCAGATTCAGTGCAATCTATGCTGAAGGGATAGTGAGCCTTAGTTTTGTGCAGCTGTTTTAATTCACTGAAAATCATTGTTTTCAATTTACAGCATTTTAAAAGCAAATTAGTTTTAAAATCAGCACAAGATAGTTATAATTATATAACTGTCCATAGGCATTTGGTTGCTGCTTGAGCATAGTGTGTACTCTTCAGGACCAAGGTGACCTCTTTGACTTAAGGGTCTAAATTTAAACTTGGGTTAAGAATCTGTCTTCTGCTTTATTCTTTGGCTTGTCTCTTGATCACGATTTTCTGAAAGCTTGTCTTGTCAGTTCATGTCTGAATGTTGCTTTATGCTCTACAGTACCAGTAAGTTGGCACTATTCCAGCTTCCCCCTCCCCTAGAAATTTGCTAATTGTCCTATTGAAATAGGGCAGGGTAGAGAGAGGGGACTATAATGCAGTCTATTTTGTCAAGGATGATGTCAGAGGCAGGGATGGAGTTCTTAAATGAACATTAGACTTCAGGCCCTAGTATTTCTTTTCAATGGCTACTAACTCTTGAAGACGTTACGTAGGGTCTGCTATAGAACAAGGCAATTTGGTGACCTTGCTGTGTCATTTAATCGTCTCTCATGGCACTATTGTACAGTCTTAGGAGAAAGTCTTGAAACTACATTGAAACTCCTTCGCGATTGGCGTAGTTGATACTATGCCTTTATCAGTAAATATATCTAGGGAAAACGTACCCCCCCATGTCTACTTTGGAAGCTTCCTAGATAGGGTGCTACAAGACTGCCTTTATCTCTAACTTTCCATTGCTCTTCCACTGTAATATACATGAAAAGTTACAATTTTTTGCATTTTACTGGATATAGAAAGGTTTTTTAAAATGCGAACATCCCTTTACTTTTCATCTACCTTAGTGGATGTTGCAAGGCCATATGAATGGGACAATACTTAAGCATACTATTTTAATGGATATTTGTTAATTGTGCCCAGTTTTTAAATATGCATTAAAATGTTTTCAGAAAGACGCTGGGCAGCTTCAGATCTCTTAGTTAGAGATCTTGCATTGAGCAGAGGGTTGGATTAGATGGCCCATGAACTTTCCAACTCTATGATTCTATGAATCTGTGACTCTTGAGTCCTCCTGCTACTCTATTCATTTGAAACAAACATTAATGTAGAGATTCTTGGAATGTCTAGCATGAGTTCCCTACATTTTTGATGCTTTTATATACAGTGGACCCTTGTTACCTGCTGGGGTTTGGTTCCAGGACCCATCCACCCCCTGTGGATGCCAGACTCTGTGACTAATCAAATCCCATTATATACATAATAAAATGATGTTCCTTATATACAATAGCAAAATCATGGTATGCTTTTTATATTAAAAAAAAAAAATACTTTCAAGCCATGTATGTTTGAGTCTATGAATGCAGAATCTGTGGATACGGTGGGTCGATCGTACTTTTGTCCTCAGTGGTAAAATAGATTAAAATTGGAAGCGTGCCTCACTATTATACTAAAAATGGGAGATAAGGTTGCTCTATTCCATGTGTAAAGTGATTGATGCATCTTTGGTGGTTTCATTTTTCAAAGCACATCTGAACCTCGCTTGTTGTGCCCCATGCCCAGGAATGACTGCATAGGGTAACATTGCTGTGAAGTACAGTGGTACCTCTACTTACGAAATTAATCCGTTCCACAACCC